GGATTCGTATCAGAATAATAATGAAAGTTGTGTCTATTCACGAGACCATTGTTATGAAAAGTACATTCATCACTAAATAACACATTTTCGAAAAACTATTCATTTTCTGCCATTTTATCTAACACCCACATACAAAACTCAGTTCGGTTTTCAAAATCGTTTCCATAAAGATCTTGGCAAAGCTGAATTTTATGAGGATAAAAGTTCTGCTTTTTGATAATTTTGGAGTGTTAGTACTTTTGGATATTAGATTTTGACTAACATTGGCATTTTTGATAACTGAACCACTTACCTCGAAAATATTTTCTTCATCTTCAGTGACCGATTTCCTTGTAATGGATTTTTTATAATTGACACTCCCAGTTTCCTCAAATTGGTGTAATAAGCGCTTAAAAACTGTTGGCTTAGAATGATTTCTTTCAGGAAACTTTTGAGCATAAACTCGAGAAGCCAATAAACATTTTTCATGAGATTCTCCAAGGGTGAAAATCATGTCAATACGCTCTTCTCTTGGACATTTCTTCATTTTCACTTAGTAACACAATAATAATATTAAAATAACGGCCAACACGTCTACAATTACAAAAAACAATACCACTCTAGCTATCAAAAAGAGACTTTCTAAACTGAAAAAGTCTAAACTGAAAAATAAAATAAATGATTTGACACGTGTAAATGGCATAGGCAACTTAGATCCATTGGAACCTTAAATTAAACACCAAATGGTGCACAGAGCGACTATTTGACGTATTTTGTAAAAAGGCGAAAACTTAGCTATTAACATCCTAATACCACTCGATAGGTAATTAAAAATTGCATTTCCTGGTAAATTAAAAAATATGGGGTTGTATTTAAATCAATCAAGTTAGAGCCACTTAAAGTTCTTATTTGATTAGTTTAAATTTGTGGACACCCTGTATAACATGGTAAGTTTATTATCGTTGGGATATAAAATATTATATCTTGTTACACTTAACTATAAATTACGCTTACATAACTTAAATAGTATTTGATACGTGAATATCGTGAATAACCCTGTATAACCACTGATTGCGCGACTTTATCCTAATTTAACCGACTTCGTAGCCCTTACGGTTTGGGAGATCCCCATCATTATCTTGGACACCCTGTATAGATGTTAGTGCTCATGCACACAAACACAAATGCGCGCTTACTATCACAAAAAGAAATAGTAACTTACCACTGTCCTCTGGGGGTGTGATCGACACTTTCTTCCCGCGATTAGGAGCTTCCGAACTGCAACTGGGACCCGGGACGGTTCGGCTACTTTCATTCGATAAAGTGCTGCTGGCCTCGACGTTTCCATAAAACAGTTGCCAGTTTCGGATTCGCGTCTCTGTCGAATGCAAGTCCATCGCCCCATCTAGAAGGACGCAAATTGAACCTACTCACTGCGGCATCGAGAGTGTGGCCTCACCAATGCGGCTGCCAGATCTAGAACTGCGACGGCCTGGCTTTGGCCTGTAAAAGTCCGGGATGGCCATGAAGAGAATGGCAAAGAAACAAATGACATTGATGAGCCAGACTAAGAAGAGGCGGCCGAGCAGAGAGACCACCACAGTGGTGGGCATGAGGGGCAGCACTTTGGAGCTGGGATGGGCGTTGAAGGATAGGAAGGCGGTGGAATTGGGCACGCCGATAAAGTCCAACCATGTGGTGAAACTGTGGATGTAGATGAGATCCAGTCCGTACTGAACGGAGGCGACAACGTCCAGGAATATTACCAAGACGCTGCATAGCAGCCAGGGGCCGTAGAAGAGGATTGACAAGTGCTTCTGTCTGGAGTTGCATAACTCCCCCACTGAAAATTCAGCCGGCCAATGTGAGCATGAAGATTTTGTTGATTCCCGTACTCACCAGCCATGCCAATGGCAGTCACCATCCAGGCGCCATCAGTGATGAATAACAGGAGCAAATAGAGCTCAGTTCTGCTCACATTGGGGCTTTGAGGAGGCAATTCTGCCTCGTGCAAGGTCTCGTTGAGGAAGTGATAGAGGACATTGGAGGAATTCGCGTCCAAAAACTGCTCTTCTCCAAATACGCTTCTATTCAGAAACAAAGTCTCTCTTTTCAGTTCTATGGGGCCGCAGGCATCTTCTGTAAATTATCGCGGGATTCAACATGAACCGACTGATTAGTCCAGCAGGAGCTACTTACTATAAAAATACGTGAGATAAACAAAGACAATGTCATAGTAGGTGGGCCTGATCCTGCAGACAGTTAAGAGATAAGCATAAATCACCCAAAAGACATGAATAGCTGTTTGCATCTGGAAACAATCAGGAAAACAAGCAACGAGACTTAATCTGAATTGTTTGCTGATCAAATCGAATCTGAACTTACTATTGTCCATGTGGATATTAAAACTACTGTCCATCGAGTTTTCCTGCCAACGTTTGCCATATCCAGGCTGTATAAACTGATGCAAGTTACTGAAAACTTTCTACGTGATGGTTGAAAAATCCATTTCAAAATATCACCAAAACACCTACCATCATTTACTGAAGCCTGCCTAGTACTGTATGCTAAAGATAACCAAATAAATATCTTATCTCTTGATAGCAGGTGCTATAAATATCAACATGTGAATTCGGGTTTTTTTTCCGGATAAACCGTTGAATATGAATCTGGAATGCAGGATGCAATTGGGGCCAAATTTCCAAATCCAGCCCTGCATGGTGGCGATTAATCAACAACAAACGAAATCCGGGGGAATAATCAAATACAGGTTAATTATACCTAAACCAGGTGTAAAAGTCATAATATTCCTGCCTCGGGGGAATGAATGAATGAATATATTAGTAGCGTTACAGATGTTTTTCGCGCCCCTCTAGGGCAGCCAGTTTTTTTATCGCCGCTAAGGGAGGTTTCGGTTTTAACGTTTTTTTCATCAACTTCAATTAAATTGCCCGAAAATTGCTTGTCTTTGTCGACTTTCATGGGTTCTTGTTTCTATCTTTTTGGAGGTTAGGAATCGGTGATCAACCCAACTGCTCACCAAAGATAGTTTGGGAGGCTGGCTTTCGAAAAATTATAAGGACTGTTTGAATATTTCCAGTTGCAAGGTGTTTTGAGCTTTGATGTTCGTGATTCATTCGTGAAAATGTTCATGGATCAGCTTCCATCTCTTTAGAGGTTAGGAAGGATTGTTTGGATTTGCAGTTGCCAGTTTGGGCACTTTTGCTTCTGTCCCTTTGGAGGTTGGGAATTTCTAACAAAACATCAATGGTGATTCCAATATTTTTAACACATTTGTGATTACCAAAGGCACATGTGGAATTCCCTATTTCAGGTTCAATAGTTTTGGCGGGAGTTATACTAAAATTGGGGGGGTATGGCTTATTTCGAGTTATGAAGTTGTCTATATTAGTAGATGATTACATAAATTTATTTATTATTATTATTTCTTTAATGGGAGGTGTATTTCTTTATTTAATATTTTTCTAGCTTTCTATTTAATCTTTAGCTATCGAAAAGGTCCTGAGGACTGATCCGAAACGTTCAACCATTTCGAAGTTATGAATTAAGCAGGCAAAGCTGCTCCTTCCGATCTTTTTTGTATACCAAAATGTTGCTATAGCTAAGCATATTTGCTTTCAAAAATATCTTTCGGATCCAGTGTTATGGCTGCAGAAATTTTTTGGGGCTCACTTAAGAAGCAAAGTCTTACAATATGCTCTTTGGCGTGCTGAGTCGAAATAGTCCGATGTTCCATTCAGCTATTTCGAACCGGTTTGTGATACAAATTTCTCGAAATTTTAGTGGCCCTTTAACGGGAAAAACATTTTTGACGAAAAATGCTCCGTAAAATGCTTAATTTATTCGCCTAAACCACAAGTCAGTTGTCTGATGCATTTTCGAAATAGGCATCTGTATTTTGAAATTTTGAAAACTGGGCTCACAATCGAATCGATTTTGTTTCGTAGCTGGAGAAGGTGATGCGAAAAGGAACAAAAGTGTTTTTCCGAGTTTCCGCGTTCGTTCGGGAAATCTTGCGATGAAAAGTAAGCTTCTGCTGCACCTTGTGGAATTGTGTCTGTCGATTTCTGAGCGGATGGTTTCCAGAGTGCGATTAACTGAAAATCTTCAGTTGAAACAAAAAAAGTCATATTCGGACTGGAGGTGGCAAAAACCTTCCGTTTTTAGACCCATTCAAAATTTTAAATGTGATCAAGTTTTGAACAGTTTTTTCGTTTTCGCAACGAAGTCCTGAATTCTGCAGTTTTAGGTGCTTGTAACATTCAGAATCTAACATCAGAAGCAACAAATGTCCGGCTGAAATCAGGCCTATTTATCATGAACTGTGCGAAATCGGACATGCTTCTGGTGTGGGCAACGTGGGGAAATTTTAAATAATTTGAAAAATAATCCAGAATAGTGAACGAATGGCAAATGTTTCTGAACAAGACGCTGGAAAGCAGCCGCTTTGCTCTCTTTGGAAACCCTCCTCAATGCGGCTCGTGCAGAGGCCGTTTCCGGTATCGAATGCACAATACGACTTCCGGTTCCTGCACAATTGACGAACGCACCGTCGCATTCGTCCGGGGAAGTCCCGATCCCGTTTGTCACATCGGGAGCTCCGGTTTGCATCCAGACAGTGCCGTCGATCATTCTAATTGTGCGACTTTTATTAGTCATACTTCGACTTGCTAAAGTTTATTTGATAGCGGAGTTTTGAGTCAAACACGCGGTCGGGATTGAGCTTTGCTTTGCCGGAGTCCATCCAGAGTAGCCGCACGCATAAATTAAAGATCAAAGTGGGATGATTTGTGGCCGAGGCGTCAGCAGGAAAAAAGGAGTTGATGAACGGCTTCCCGAGTCGAGTGGCCTTTGTTCCGTTGACCGGATCTCCAGAGCAACTGCTCGTTGTCCGGCAAGGAAATTGCCACAAGACTGTCCGGTGACAAGACGCATGTTCCCATATCCTATTTAGGATTAAATGTGCTCACGGTCTAGAGGCTTATTAATACAAATAGCTCAACTCTTTGGGCATTGAGGCGCCTCTCTAGGCGCCCCCTTTTGCTTAATGATCGTGTCTTCAAATGGTTGCCTGATTCAATTCGGTGGTGTTTCGTCCACAAAAAACTGAAAGTCTAATGGAACGGCAGCAATAGCGCCCTCTTAATGTTAGGCGGGAGACGAATAAGGGTGCTGGTTGAAATCAATACAGCAGAGTTTTCGAAACTGTGAGCTTGAACTAGTTTTCCGCGAAAACGCTTGCTTCAAATTCAGTATAAATCGACTTGAAAATAAATCAAGTGTCCCGTGAAAATTTCTGGGTTTGCAAAGTGTTCCATTATCGAAAAAGTTTGGGAATCCTTTGGGAAGAAAAACTTTATTATGGAAATTTCGGATAATATTGCTTAGAAACGTAGCTTACTGCAATCATATGCTGTAGAATCGCTCTGGAAAGGGGGGTTTTCTCTAATTCAAAACCCTGCCTGGCACTCTTAATGGTGTTACTTTCCTCAGTTTATTTTATTTACGCGCACTATCAGTATTTGCGTGTGCAGTGGGCGTATATTTGAAACGAATCATACCTTTTACCCAGACCATTTTCCTTATTATGTAACAGTTTGTGCGCGATTGGTTGAATCCAGGCCTGCAATCAATGGGTGATTAATCTGGGCATACCAACTGCTGACCAATAGGAAATATTGATTTTGCCTTTTGCTTTACTAAGGTGTTGCTCTTTCGTGAGGCTTTTCTAAGGAGCATGGAAAGGTCTAACATTGGTAGAAAGCATGCGGACATTTTCATTCTCTGGATCTCTGTCCCCTCGATTTTCGTCTTGATATTTTTTTAATATCTGGTCCCCAAAATGCCTCTGTCTTAAATTGAAGTAGCAATTGAAAAGGCAGTATATTTAAATTAATATTTTTTCATCCTGGGTTTGCAATTTCAAAACTTCCCAATTATGGGTTTGTTTTGAATTTTAAATCTGATGATGGCGCTGTTGTCTCACCGAAACGTAATATGAAATAAACGTTATGAACATTTTTATTTCACATTTTGAGTGAAACCCAGGAAAGAAAAAATATAATAACAATTAGGTACACGCAGTCAGGAGTATCAAGGTATGATATGATACCAAAATGTTTAATGGATAAGTAAAGGCTGGCTCAAACTAGATTATTTCCTTTAACTCGCACGTGTTTTGTTGTAAGGATGCTTTAAATAAATTGAGATATGACTTCGTCGTGTGGACTGTTTTATTTCTTCTCTCTCTTGATAGTGTATTTGGAGGT